TGGAATTCGATTTCTTAAAGTGGACACTTCAAGCTTCATTTTGTATTTTTAAACATATTTTTATTTTTATTATAATATTTATCAAGTTATGACCATTTAAAATTTGGTAAGTTTTTTCAAAATTTTCAGCATAACGCTTTTTTACAAGCGAATGTTTTGAAGCTTGAAACTTGCACTTTAGCATGTTTTGGCCGCTTTTAAAAATATTTTTATCTTTACAATATTGTATCTTAACAAAGATATCATAATAAACGGCTGGTTGTTATCGCGTGTTCGAAACAAACTAGGTAATATCTTTTTTGCTATTTCTTCTTTAATGATTATTTCTTTTTGCGTTCATAATTTATCCGACTCTGCAAAAAATGAAAAAATTAAAAAAATTTCAAAATAATTAATTTTTGTAAATAAACTTTTGTCATAAAAAATAGGAATAAAATAAGACAAATCATTTAAAACAATCAGAATGTACATTAATTTTTTTATTATATATTTTTTTATATTATAATTAATTATGTATTGTTTAATTAAAACTGTGAATTTTTATGTTATAATAAAATAATATAACTTCAAATATAAAGTAACAAATTTAATAAAAATTATAATATTGTAGAATAGACATATTAAAATTAAAGTTAAGAAATATTTAACGAGTTATTGCTGTATCACAATTAATTATTATATACACTGCAGTTTAAAAGATGAGAACTATTGTAAAAACATATCGTATATAAAACTGCTATATCGTGCGTTATATCAACAGAAATGTAAGTGTGACAAACAAATTTTAGCATTTATGAAATGTTCATGCTTTGAATATCTCTGTTTTACATGTTTTTATCATAATTGTCCTTCAAAGTACAATGTATATAATAATTTATTGCATAGAAATAACTCGTTAAATATTTTTTAACTTTAATTTTAATATGTCTATTGTATAATATTACAAATTTTTGTTAAATCTTTTACTTTGGATTTGAAATTATGTTTTATTTTATTATATATAAGAATTCACAGTTTTAATTAAACAGTACATATTTAATTATTTTATAAAAAAATAATGTACATTTTGATCCCTTTAAATAAATATTTTCTTATTTTACTTCTATTTTTTATCACAAAGGTTTATAGTTCTTACTTAATTTTTTAAAAATATTTTTTAATTTGCGGAGTCATAAGATAAATTAAGAACGTAAAAAGAAATAATTAAGGAAAAAAAATAACAAAAAAGATATTACCTAGTCCGTTTCTTGAACACGCGATAACAACTAACTGTTTACTTTGATGTCCGTCACGCTTGCTGCCATTCCAAACTTTAAAATTTTGTAACTTCGATTCTTTGGTTTTTAAATATTACATATTACATTTTACCACGTTAAACTCTACATGTTATCAAATTTTCCAATTGATCGGAATACATATCTGGACCCCTTATATAAGCTAAATCTATTTTTTAAAATTGTAGAAAGATATACAGTATCGGTCAAAATTATATTATATTATCTTTCGATTTATGAAAAGTAAAGAAAGTACAATAATGCGAGAAAATTTGGGAAAATTAGTAAGAAATTAAAAAATCATGGTATACATTGTCAAATCTCATTATACTTTACGAACAAGGTTCACCTGCCACCAAGTGTCCACTGTATAAATTTGAGCGTATTCAATTCATTTTGACAAAAGTTATGCTTAAAAAATCGAAAGGTGATAAAATTTTGACCGGTACTCTGTGTTATATAGAAGTATATTTTTTTAATATACTTTTTTAATATAAAATGCTATTGGTAATTCTCTCTCATTTATGTATTATATATAATTTTACCAAATATTTGACATATGTATTTGAAACAATACATTAATCAATTAAAATGATGCGTTTAACAGACGTTAATAACGTATGAATCATCAATGTCCACATGATATCAGTATTTTTACTTGTAATAATGGATAATTTATTAATACGCAATTTTCTTTTGGACAATTTACTTTAAACTACAGATGTCAGTCGAATTATTAAAAAAGAAACAAACTCCTTGTTTCATCATTATTTGTACTATTTATGTTCCGTTTTATACAACTTATTACATATACCTACATAGGTATAATCATTTTGTGCCACCCATATACTCCTTTGTATACGTATCAATAATCGGAAAAATTCGAATACCTGCTTGTGTGTTACATCAGCCAAAATATTCTAAATTCAATTAATTAAAAAAATAAATTGCTATTCTGACAAATAATCATCACTCGCTATACATATATGATAGATGTGTCTGTTTTTATCCCGATAAAAAGTGACCATATCTGAGACTTTTACAATTGTAGCTTGCGAATAAAGCAGAGACGAATGTTTTTATATAAAATATTAAATAAAAGTAATAATGAATTTAACGAGATACAAATACTAAAAGCAGCTCATGTATAATATAAAATATTTAATAATTATAAAAACTTTGTTGATCTTATTAAAATTAGGAAAATGTTCTACGGAAAAAATATATATATTTTTTTAAACAAAAGCATTATTAAGTTAAATATCAAAAACCTAAACACACACTGTGGCAAAGATTTTATTTCAAATTTAAAGGAAAATGTTAAAAAGAGGACGATTTTTGCTCACAAAGGTATAAGTAAAAAAAATAGCGTTTTTATAGATTTTGCCCTCCTGAATGCGATAATGTTAATAAAAAGTTCAGGATGGATAGAGAACGAACACCTTGAAAATTGCGTATGTACATGATATATTTAAACAAATTTCGATATTCTTGCTTATTTTTCCCCCAAGTGTCATGAACATTTTGATCATTTTATCATAGTAAGGAAGTCAAAATCTACAAAAAACATTATTTCTTTCACTTACATTTTTTTTAAACAAAAGTCGGACCTTTTTTAATATCCTTCAAAAAAAAAAGCAGATTATTGTCCAAAAAGGTATATGTAAAAGAAATATTTTTTGTAGATTTTAATCTCTTGAATATGATAAAATTATTAAAAAGTTCGACACATTTGAGGAACATCTTGAAAAATAAGCAAAAAAATATCGAAATTTGTTTAAATATATCATGTACATACGCAATTTTCAAGGTGTTCTCTATCGATCCCAAACGTTTTATTAACATTATTCAGGAGGTCAAAATCTATAAAAAAATACTATTCCTTTTACTTATACTTTTGTGGGCCTCCTTTTTAACATCCTCCTTTAAAAATCTATTTCTTTTTGCCGAAAATAAACAATAAATTCTGTATCCATTTTAATATAAAACTAAATTAAAAAGAAAAAGATTCCTTTGTTATATTTTTTAAATAGAAATTTCTGGATCTCTCTCTCTCTCTCTCTCTCTCTCTCTCTCCCTCCCTCTCTCTCTTTCATTCGCTCTCTTTTCCCAAGATCTTCATTTTTCAACATCTCTTTAATGATAGACATTTTAAACAGAATTTTATATACACATAATTTAATTACTAAATTATATAATGTTGGAAAAAAAGAATACATACCCCAGAATAAAATTACCAATAAAAAAATAATCTAAAAGTATATATCTACAAATTGTGTTTATTGATCTATAATAGCAATATCCTGCATAGTAAAGATATTGTCTTATATATTATAATTGTAAATTATTTCAATTTTATTTAACATTAATGTTTATATATATATGTATAAAATATAACATAAAGAAAATGTTCTCTAATCGCCCTAATATAACAAATATATCTTTTAATACTTAATGCATTACTGTTTGTATGTATGTATATTTGCTGTATTTTAATTAAAATGGTACAAATGGTAGTCGTAAATGTTTCATTAATCCATAACTAATTGAATTAATATTAATTTTATAACTTTCACATACCTTCTTTTATATTCTCATAGAACTTCCAACAAAACTCCATCATCAGGACGCCCTAATTTATTGTAGCAAGTAACTTTCGTAAATAATCAATATAGTGACTTGGACCATATAATGTATAAGTATCGCATCAAGTGTTTTACTGATAAAAAGCGTAAAGAAGCTTGTTCCTTGCAAAGAACGTAGGTCGACTGTTCTACAATTTTGCGTACAACAATATTCGTCGATATTCGTTTCTATTAATACTTATATATCCATTGGTTCTATCCTTTTTTTCGTATACGTAATAATTAAAAGCTTATTATCGATAGACAATAACTATAATCTGTGTTCAAGGAACGCGTTATCAGAGTCATTGCATCATTCTACCGTTGTTTTACGTTTGATGAACAATAAAGATAAACAATGCTGACTAGCGCACTCCTCGAATGCAACAAATTATTGTCTATTAATGTTTTTAGTCCGAATAAATTCTTGGAAACTTTGGAAAAAAACCGTTTTTTCCGGTTTTTTCCGGTTTTTTCCTTATTATATTTTTCTAGACTTTTTTTCTTTTATGATAATTTTATTTTTATTGTCTCTCTCTCTCTCTCTTTCTCTCTCTCTCTCTTTTATGTAAATAATTTCACTAAATTACTAATTTCTTTTACTTTTAAGAATTCTAATATGTAAATCATTCATCAAAAATAAACATTAATAAGATTAGGATTAAAACTGTTTTAGATAAGTACATCACCCAAATATAAGAAGCGCCGACAATCAAAATTAGGTGTTAATTAAATTAATACAAATATATATTCTTATTTTAAATTAATTTATATTTCAGAAATATGATTACGCGTCGTTACTGCTAGACTTTCAACGCAATCCATCTGAAATATTAATAATCCTCTCAAATTTAATCTTAAAAAACCGTAATAAACTTATTGCAGAACTACCCATTTATGAATAAAGTTCCCTGTTATGATCATTTATTATGAAAATTTTTTGAATTTATGAATAAGTTTCTCTTCCCCACCCCTCTCTCTCTCTCTCTCTCTCTCTTATGGCAAAGTCATTGAATATTAACCCTCAACTACTGAGTAGGTCATTTGGACCCGGATAAAAATTTTAATCTGTCGCTATTTTTGTTAATATTTAAAGAGTTTAAATAAAGGAGTAAAAAAAACTTTCTCTGTCAATCGCCGTTATGTAATTGCTTCATTGTTGTTTTGTCGCTAATTGTGATGCAATAAAAGTTTAGCTTGGGTCACTTGGACCCCTCAAATGTAATTCGAAAACTCTTTGTCGAAAGTGAAAATTTATTTTCAGTACATGCCTGTTTATTACTGCTATATTCAAGTATATATGTTGTTTTTTTTATAATTAAAACATATGTTCATTGTCAAAAAAAATTCATTTTTGCGAGAGGCATTTTGGTAAAACAATCTCTCTATTTTCTCCGAGTCATAAAATCGTGAGTAAATAATGTCGAAATCATTACATATTTAATACAAAATATTTTCATTGCATTTTTTTTAAAGAAGAAAATACCCGACATATCTCCGACATCATTTTTCCGAGCGTGTAAAAATGCTTTCACTTTAATCACATAACTAATTATTTTTAAAAATTTACTTTTAAAAATGAATTAATGTAACGTATTTTTTTTTTTCTTAAAGTTCACGTTTTGCTCTTTTCAAAATACTACTTACTTTTAGCTGTATTTTTTTTTATCATAAAGAAAGAATTTTTTGAAAAAAAAAAATTGATTACTGCACTCTTTTCACAAATTGTTCTTTAATATTTTTTGGCATTTTTCAATTATTAAAATATTTTTATATTTTGATATTATACATTCTGGCATGTTAAAAAAAAATTTTCTATTGAAATAATTTATCGTAATTATGAGAGAATTAATCAAAGAGACCGTGGGTGATTTGGACCCAGACATGTAAATTAAAATTCTAAAACGAGACATGTAATTAAGGGTTAATTAAAAAAAGAAACTGCAGACATAATATTGTAACATAAATTTAATGTTTTATACTATACATACTCGTATATGCATATATTACAAAACTTATTGTGTTATAAAAAAAATATGCATATATATAAAAATATATATATATAAAGAAGATAAAAAATTTATAAACAAGTACTTTTTTTATAAATGTATTACAGGTATATAGATGTATTTTGTGTAACAAGAAATACTAGTATTTTGTACTTTGTTATCATAGAATGTACAAATAATAATAAAAATAAATATCTTATTCTGTTACTGATTATTGAATCTCAGCTTGATCAGTCTCAATACACCCTGTTATTTATGTAATGTTATTATGTAGTAATGCATAAACGGAGACAAATCTTCTATTTTCTTGTGTATAAAATAATTTAAAATAATTTTTTTAAAGCAACATCATTAAATTCAAATATAGACCAAAGGGAACGTATTGAAAGATTTTTTTTGGTAAAAAATGAAAAAATTGTTTTCCTGAGTTTTTTCCTCGATTTTATTTTTCTGGAAACTTAAGAACACTTAAGAGAGCAATTTTACACGTTTCCGTATTTTTCAGAAAAAACTGGAAAAAACCGGAAAAAAACATCGTTTTTTCCACAATTCTATTTTTTCGGAAAATTAAGAACTCTATTGCCTATCGATAATAAGCTCATTATTACGTAAACGCAAGATAAAAACGAGTGCATGCATTATCATCATGGCAACATTTTACTTCACTTTTGTGACAAACGTCACAAAAAAATGTAACGAATTAATTATTACAAAATAAAATAAAAGTTAAAGTTTGCATTTAATAAAGACAAAGATGCTTTATATATAATATATAAAGATTTTTCATATATTATACTTTATATTTATAAAGTTTTTTATATTTTATGCTTATAATGATTTTACTTTACTATACTATATAACAGTATATTTAATTAGTTTTTAATAAAAAAAATAAGATTTTATCAATCTATTAAATTTTCGAATTTAGCTTTTAGAGCTCCTACAGACGAACGACTTTTTAGCGTCACAATCGAAAGCGCCGATCCGTTCATACGGAGTTATTCTGTGGTGTTATAGAAAAATGTGACGAATATGTTCATGGGCCATTTCGTGACAAGAAGTATTGCGGATGTGTTCAGATTCTGTAAGCATTTTTCTGTAACGCTACAGAATAGCTGCGTATGAACGAGTCAATGCTTTCGATTGTAGCACTACAAAGTCACTTGTAGTGCTCTCTGGACCCTAAAAACTTAATTTGAAAAAATTCAATAGATTTATAAAATTTTATTTTTTTATTAATAACTAATTAAATATACTGTTATACAATATATGCATAATAAAGTATAAAAACCATGATAAGTATAAAATATAAAAATCTTTACAGATATAAAGTGCATGAAAAATCTTATCGCTATAAATCGCTATAAAATCATAGAAGCTCTAATCGCTATAAATTTTTTAACCATATATGTATATTTAGATATATAATTTATACTTACCTTTTTAAAAAAAGTATAAAAAAGTGCTAAAAGTTTTCTTCGGAAAAAAAAACTATTGTACCAAATTAAAAAGTAACCCAAGGGATACTATTTTTATTATTTACGCACTCTAATGACACATATTAATTATATAAAAGATATTTGTGTGTGGTGTGTGGATATCAACAACTGAGGCTAAGTTAACGTCCCATATCAAATTAAATAATGAATATAATCCAAGAGGTATCATCTTTAATTTTTATATAATGAAACCCAAATATATGTATATCCTTATTATTTCTATTGAAGGCTCCTTTTTCTATTCCAATCTAAATGACTTTAATTGTTCTTAAAAGAAATTATTATAAAACAATCTATTCAAAGACACTTTCTCTTTCGACCAAAGTGATAGTTAGTTAATTCTTCTTCAAAACGTTTCGAAACATTACATTACAAAATTGCGTTACCTTACTCAATACAAGTGTTACCACAAAGAATTAATAAAGTAATAGTATAAAATGACAGTATAAAATGAAAAAATTTAACTTAGAATCTCTAGCTAGACCGTTCAAAGGCATGTATCTCTTATTAAAAAAATTTAATTAAAATAGAAAAATTTGTTATTACTTACTTTCTCTTACTTGTTCCATTTCTCAAAACTTGATCTTAATTTTCACTCACGACACGCCGTAAATTCAAAATAACTTCAAAATAACATATGCGCATCATGCGTTGAAACGGAACGCACATCGGTCAAAACCGGCAATACTGGATCCTTCTACTGACCCTTTATGCAAATTAATCTGGATATTGTTTAGTCTACATACACAATCACAAAAATGGATAAAAAAAAATATATATTAACGCGTTTTTTCGTGAAATGAAATTGCTGCAGAAAAAAGT